CCCCAAAACCCCAAAACCCCAAAACCCCTCACTTAGTTATTAGGCAATTGTTTTAGGAATAATAAAAATAGAAAATATAAAATGTCTGAGTACAGAAAATAAGAGGACGAGTATTAGCCTCTTTTTGAGAGATAATATACTAATGGTTATGGATCGGTAATTATTGATAATGGCCCTGAAAAAGAGACACCTCCAAAACTGGAAGAGCCAGCTTAGGTTATATTGAATCTCAGAAACCTAAGAAAAATGAGGGGCACACCTACTTATAAGAAATAAGAATCTCAGAATGAATAACCTGTTTAGAGTCCAGGTCCACACTCGCATAATAGCAGCTATAATTCTTCTCATAATAAAAGCAGTTCTAAGACTAAAGAATCTTCTTCAAAATTAAGCGATAGAAAACCTCAGTCATTTTTATAAATGATTCTAGCCTCATTACCTCATCTAATTATGATATCGGTTTTGGGCTTTTTTATTCTGCTGTTCATGAAAAAAACTACTATGCTACATTTAGATTGGCAAAACGTTTTTCTTCCCTTGTAGGCTTTCACATTTTTATTTGCCTTTCAGCTATTTAACTGGTATGAATCCTTAAAAAGAACTCATGAAACAATATATCGTAGACTTAACATGCATCTAATTATGACAGTAGTTATGCTATCAATATTTTACCTGCTTTTGGCAGATTGTTTAAATTTCACTCACATATCAGTGATAGGCCGACTAATTAGATTCATACCAGTCTACATTGTGGCTTTATCAACATTTTCAATTTTTATGTACTTATTGCCAGGTCTATGTGACCCAGAGATTAACAGAACTAAGAGATTGCCATTCTTGATGATGAACTATTTTGTAGTTTCCATTCTGACCATAGTATACTTCAATATAAACGGCTTTTAAATTATTTAAAAATCAAATGGAATCATAATGTTCTTCCCATTGATCTTCAACCTAGTTATGCATTTAATCACTATTTTAACTGACTAATTACAACATAAAACTGAGCTATTAGTTGTATCTTCAATACTTGCTGAAATAATTATATTTAGCTTGGAATGGGATTAATCTATTGTTATACGCTTCTCAATCGCAATCATTACTTGGTTTTATATATACTATAGAATTATAATGAAGATCAAGTACTAAAAGTTGAATGAAAATAGTAAGAATGGAAATAATAATGGATAATTTATTGACCAAGAGTTAGCTATAAACTAAAGTTAATAATGAGAGATAGAAGAAAAAGTGAGTATTTGAGGACTGCAAATATTATCTCAAGTTTATAGATATATATTCATCAGTTTATTGATTGAATGTATTATTTTAAAGTATTCGTGTTTACTACCCCAAAAATTTGTTTATTCAACCACATTTTTGCAATGAAGCAAATAAATTTTATCCCTCTTTTTAATAACTCTTTCATGGGGTTTTGGGGTTTTGGGGTTTTGGGG